CTTTCTCTACTGTTATTCCCAGTTTTTCCGCCACTCAGTCCTGTTGCCTTCCTGCGCGTCCCAGGAACTCCTCACGGACTGGAGTGAGACTCCAGACCCATCTAAGAGGTGACCCAGTGGTGGCGGGAGCTGAGCCGGCTTCCCCGGGGTGGCAGGCCCAGGCTGCTGTCCCGAGCCTTGTGGGCTCCCGAAGAAGAAAGCGAGTCTTCCCAAGGAGAGCCGCCAGATCTCGAGATTCCCTCTCCACCCTTGCAGCCAATTCGGGGCTCTGGGGACCAGCAGGGCCCTCCCCAAGAACCTGCCGCCCGGCGCCCCCGCCCCACCTACCAGGCAGAAGTGGCGCTGCGGAACTCTGTGGACCCACAGCCCCTGGACGTGAAGCTCTGCTCGAGGGTCTACTAGACTACACAGCACACCCAACTCCGGAGAACCCGGCAAGCGGCGTGTAGGCACCGTGGAACACAGTCCCGCCCGCCGCGCTGCTCGCGGCCAATGAGTGCGGGCCGCGACTGCCGCGCTCCGGTGACCTAACTTCCGGCCCCGCCCCTGCCTTACCCGGGCGAAGGTGCCGGGACGTGTCAGCTGGAGGGGGTCCTGACCTACCCGCGTCCCGCCCCTGCTTCACTGCATCTTGGATGGGTACCCTGGGCGCTCTCGATTAAAGCTGTTAGTTGGAGGAAGTTAAGCTGCAGGTGGGGTCTGTGCCCAACTTAAAGCGCGTGTCAGCAAACTGGTGCCTAACACCTGAGAGCCGGGAGACTTATGCGCGTTTCCCGAAACTGTTTCCTCATCTGTGACCTTATTTTTTTTTTAATATATTTTAGTTGTAGATGGACACAATACCTTTATTTTACTTACTTTTATGTGGTGCTGAGGATCGAACCCAGCGCCTCGCACATGCTAGGTGAGCGCTCTACCGCTGAGCCACAATCCCAGACCCTGTGACCTTATTTTTAAACTGCCAGTCGCAAGATCAATTTAATGGTTTGTAATTAGCACTTTTTTTTTTTTCTTCTTTTTCAAGCAACTAGCAGAACCTGGTCACCTCTCTAGACCACCAACCTCTAAACCACGTTCTGCGTCGGTCCATTTAGGACGGAGTTAAGCCCGTTTTGCGTGTGATCCCTGCGCTGGGGCTCTCGCCTGGGGGAAGGGAACCGGAGGCCCAGGCTGGGCTGAGTTCAAAACAGAAGCAGGCAGAGTTAGGGAGTGCAGACTACGTGCCAAGCGCCAAGTGCACACAGTAAATAAGAATTGCTCGCATGAGTATATAAAACAAGCTTTGGAGGGAAAAGATTTGAGGGGTCCTACTTTAGCCAGGGAAGGGCTAAGGCTGGAGCACTTTAGCTCAGCTAAGAAGGCTGAGGATTTGACCTTCCCGCCTGGGAATTAATATCCCTCTCCATATAAGGTGAAGCGCCTCTCAGAATACTTGGATTGCAGCAGCCCCAATTGCAGAGGCCTTTGGACAGCCCAGAAGATAGCTGTGACCTAATTGATGTACTATGGGTACAACTGAGGCACCCAGCAGATGCTCCTTGAGGTGTTATTGCCCTAATAAATCTGCCTCTCTCTCCCTGAGGAAACCATCAATCCTTTGCTGAAATAATCCACTATCCAACTAGCTGAGAAACCAGCTCCAGGGAGACAAGTTCACAGTTAAATGTTTTTGGAGAGTCCATGCAGGTATGGGTGTATGATTTTATTTCTTGATTCCATTTCCACAGTGAAGTAAATGGCTTCAGATAAATGACAGCAATTATCTCTTCCCCACACCCCAATTATGCCCTTTGTCTCCAGGTCTCACTTCTCTCAGTTTCTGGGTCATCAAGTCCTGAGGCTCAGTCTCTGATGTGTGACATGGATACAGCCACCCCTCCCAAGCAGCTGGTAATGAAACATGAGAGGAGAACAGCAGAAAGGTGGAGCCAACTGTGGGGAATCACAATTCCAGGGCCCCCCAAAGGGCTAGAATGATCACAGCAGAGATGCTCCTAAAAATAGTGGCATGAATTCTAGAACAGGGACCCGCATATGTGGGCTAAGTAGTTACTATAACTGTTCTGTGGGAGGGGAAAAGAGCCAAGGAGTCTGCCAGGGGTGGGGGTGGGAAGCACCTCCTACACCACAATGTCTTTGGAGCACTTCAACAATTCCCCAAGGAGCCTCTGACCACTGTTACAACCCTAGCTTTCTAAGGGACTTGCCAATCACCAGCTCTTCCACTTGGACTGAAGAGGGAAGCATGAGGCCACAGCCTTCATAGCTTGGGTAACCTTGCCCAGGCCAAAGCTCCAAGATGCAAGAAAGGATACAGCATGTCCTGCGGGAGCGGGTGGTCTGAGAAGGCACTGAGGGACAGGCCCTCCAAGGAGGCCTGTAGGGTCTGGGTAGTACTGTGATTAATCAGGAGGCCCATACTCTGGACCTAGGGGAGAAGAGGGTAGTGAAGGTAGGACTTCTCTAAACATCCCCTACCCCCTGTACTTCTGACCTCCTAAGGGCTGCTGTAGCCAGATCCAACCTCCAAAAAGATGGTGTTGAGGGTTGAGCCCCACAGGGGTTGCATGTCATCCAATTTCCACCCACCTGAAGGAAGAAGTCACGAAGAGCTCTGCGTGTGGTATTTGAGAGGGTAGATAGGTCTGCCAAAGCTGCAACTTGCAGAACATGACCCACCTCTTCATGAGAGAGGACACTGCTGCTGTTGTACCGCACAAACTAGCCCAGGAAGAGAAGCCCCAAATACCCAGTGATTTGGAGGAAATGCCATTTCCGGTGCCCTGCTGCACTGGGCAATGAGCTGGGGATCCTGTTTTGAAGTCCATAGAACCCTGCCTTCAAGAGTGCTGCTTTGGTGGGTAGGGGTGAGGTAAATGAAGCAACTGAGGTCCTGAGGCAACTTTCCCTAACTGACCCTCTGGCCTTGCCTCCTTCCTCCCCCAGCTTTGCACCATACACTAATGGCCAAGATGAACTGTGCATTTTCCATAACCTACCACCGCCTGCTTTTGTATCTGGTGTTCTCATTTTACTACCTGAAATACCTTCAATACCTTCCTCCTCTCTGCCTATTAATCCTTCAAGCCTCAGATAAAATGTTACCTTCACCCTATAAAAGCAGTTACTCTCTTCTTTGTGTTCCCATACCAACCAATGATTTCTTTGTAGATCCACTTCACTATCATTCATAGACTCACTGCTTTGATATTTATTCAATGGACATTTACTATATGCCAAGCACTTAGCATCTCTTCCACTCCACCACACAAAACATATTCAACTCTTCATTTGTCTATCTCCTTCTCTAGATGGAGGAACCCTTAGAAGCTTAGATTTTGGCTCATTGACATCCTCGGCAGACTTGGCATGTGGTGACAGAAATAAGAGAAAAGGATCAGGGTCTTTGGGGTGAGGATATTAGATATTCAAAGGAATTCTGTGAGGAGGCCTCTTGGAGTTGAAGGTCCACTAAGCCCCTCTGCCTTATTTGAGGATAAGGGTTACCTAAAACAAATGTCCCAAGTCTCTTCAGCACCACCCAGCTCATGACATTTTTCAGACCATAGGGCCATTGTTTCTGTACTTACCAGTGTCATAAGCCTCAATATCTCGGATCTAAGGAAGGAATTTTCTCCAGCATCCAAGAGAGTAAACAGCAAAAACCTATTCCAGGGCTGGGAGGCCACATGGAGCGCTGCAGGCAAAACCAGTCCCCCAGGTGGTTAATGCTGCTTTTCCAAAGCCCTGAGGACTAGGCTGACACTTGTCCTAGTGATAAGCTTCTCCTAGTGACCCAGCTTCAGGCAGGCCATTGGACAGCCTGCTCCAACAGGTTTCTTTCTTTCCTGAGCTATCTATCCATCTGTTCTGACTGGCTCAGTGAAACAGTATATCCCATGATTGTGGGAGGCAGGCAACAGGAAGGGCTCTGCCATTTAAGAGCATTTTGAGACCATGGCTGGGTAGGTCACCTGACCTCTCTGAACCTCAGTGTTCTCATGTTTATAAAGGGTATGATAGTACCTTTACGGTATTATTAAAAGAATTAAACAAGATGAGTATGAATTACACAACAGGGGATGGAAGCCTTTGAAAGAAAGGTAGCAAGGGCTGACCTCCTCTAATCTCCCCCAGGGAAACATCATAGAATGAGGAAGATTTCTACCAAGGTCTGGGCTCCGGGCATACACGTAGTCAAGCAAGGCCTCCAGGCAGCCAACACAGCCCTGTGACAATAGAGGGTCCTTCTGCAAAACAACACAAAAAACAAAAACAAGAATAGGAATTAGGGTCACATTTTGCTACCAATAGGTTTTGGTGTTAACTAAGAAAAAAAAAACATTTGGTAATCAAGAGTTATTTGGATTTCAGAATTTAAGATTTGGGATATGGCCATGTAGATAATTAAGAATTCTTGTCTTCATCTATCACCCATAAACAGAGCACAATGCCTTTTTCAAGACAGAATTTTGTTTCAGAAAAGAAGATGGACCTTGGGCCCTACTGAGAGATTCACATATTACAGACATTGGAAGACTCCACAGTTTATCTAGGCGAGTGGGTTTCAACCAATTTTTCAAAAACAGAAACCTTTCATCAAACAAAATTTTATGCTAATGATCACATGAAAAAAATCTCATGATCATCAGTCAGAAAAATGCAAAACAACACTATCAAGAGATACAAGTACATACTCACCAATGACTGAACTTGAAAAGACTGACAATACCAAGTGTTGGTGAGAATGTGGAGAAATTGGAACTCTTATTGGAAAGGTAAAATGGTATAGCCACTTTGGAAAACAACTTGGTGGTTTCCTATAAAGTTAAACATAATTACCTTATGTGGTAGGCAGAATTTTAAGATGGCCCATGACTTTTACTCAGATGATCTCCTGTGATTTTATTATATGGAAAAAGGGAGATTGTTCAGATGGGCCCAAACTAATTACATGAACCCTTTAGAAACAGAGTTGTCTATATGATGACAGAAGAAGAATCAGCAAGTTAAAGTGTGAGAAGGACTCAATGTGCTACTGCTGGTTTGAAGCTAGAGAGGCCCTGTGAGAAAGAATTTGAGTAACCTTAAAGAGCTGAAAGAAGTCCCTTAGGATGAATCCATTTGTCCCAGATAAGCACCCAGCCTAGTTAATACTTTGATTTCAGCCTTGTGGAACCCTAAGTGGAGAACCTGGCTAAGCCTACCCAAACATATAACCTACTGAATTGTGAAATTATAAATGAATGTTTAGGCCATTAAGTTTATGGTATTTTGTTACAAAGCAATAGAACACTATTGCATCATTTGACCCAGCAGGTCCACTTCTAGGTATTTACCCAAGAGAAATAAAAACATATATCCACATAAAGATTTGTACTTCAGGGGCTGGGGATATAGCTCAGTTGGTACTGTG